ATGCTCTACAAGGCTTTGGCAGAACTTTCGATCTTCCTGTCTCATTTTTCCTTTAGGAGGTCTTTTCGTCCTCAAAAAGTTATGCTGACCTGTATGTGAATGCAACATGGAATGCACCGAAGGAGATCCTAATGGCATGATTGAATAAGTGATGCTGAGGCATCATTTCAGTACAAATGCATCGATGCATATAATCAGTGAGATGATACCTGACTTGTCACAGTAGCCTGTGTTGCATGTATAATATAATTTCACTGCATTCCTAAGGTTTACATAAGGGTTGTATAGCTCTCTGTACAAGAACAGTAGTAGTCGCATTCCTCAGTGCATACTCACTGCATACTCAGTGCAGCTCAGACAGAAACCAACTCCAGTTCAGATGCTTGGTAGCACTAGGCCCCAGTGAAGGTACTCTTTCAGGCATTTGGCTTCTTGTTTGGAACTGGCTATTGTATTTCAGAGCAATGCAGGTGCCAGCACAGTGATGATGGGCTCTTTCTTTATTCTCGTACACTAATAAATATCACACATCCTGTGGGTGTTTCTATTTTGCCTTCACACAAGGGTCGTAATGTGTTAGCTCTGTTTTAGATAAATAGTGTTTCAGCTGGCAAGTAAACACACAGAAATTAGTTAAAGAGAGGCAGGTGGAAATATGGGGTGGCTGAATCTATGTCTGTGGATGAGATCACAGCAAGGAAGTGTAAAGGGAGATTGGAAGGATACCATAAACTTTGAGGATTGCAAGACAAAACTGGAGTGAAGGGAAGGGAGTGTTTTGAATGGCACGCTAACAGAGCAGTTGGAAACTCAGAAGGACTTAACTGAGACACAGAAAGGAGGACAGGATTGAACAGAGATATGAAAGCAACGAAACGTGCGCTTAAGAGGTTGGACGTATTACCATTACAGGAGTTGAAGTTGCTAAGGATGAGTGGAGAAGATTGGAGAAGGACAGAGAGAATATCAAGACTTTAAATTTAAAAAAGATTGATGGGGAGGACAGGATGTAACTGCAGAACGAATGGGAAGAGGAGCAGCAGATGCAATCTCCTCACAAGAGAGAGAACGGACTGGAGAGAAGTTGGAAAGGAGAGAAGAGGTAGAAGAGAGAAGCCTGATCAAATACAGTTGGGTTAAAGTAGACAATATGAAAGAAAGCAAAAAGGACAGGTTTAAAATACTGGTGAAGTTGTAGATACAACACTGGTACAAGTTATCTTCCAGGAGTCTGCATAAGCTTCCTTGTCAAGTCACCAAACTGCCTCATACAGATATTCAAGACAGGCTGTTATTTCTGTGAAGGCAGACCACATGCTGCAGTGTTCTCATGCAACATATTCACTTTTATAGATCGATATGACAAAAAGTTTCCTTATTAGCATATTACACCTCACTGCAGGAAAAAAGGTCTTGCGATATGTCAATCACCAGGTGGCATTTTGAATGGAAAAACAGAAACAAAATCTATTGTCTAATGCACGTGCATAGATGATTTCACAGCAAGTACTGCCAGAACAAGTAATGATCTCTGTGTGTGTGTGTGTGTGTGTGTATTTGTCCAGTAGCTTGGGATCTAGGAGCTCCAAGGATGAGTGGACAGATTGCCAACCCTCCTGGGACTGTATAACAATATTCACTTTCATCTGGATTGTATGTGGATTGGAGATTACATCAAAGGAATATACATGCCTTTAGAGGCCTTCATATGCCAAATCCATCAACTGAATTTGGTTAGGAAACCAATATACCTAAGAAACAACCTCTTAAATTGATAAAGGAAGGCTACCTGTGCTCGTAACAGCCTTGATTTAAGGAAAGAAAAAACAATATATTAGCTACACTTTTCCTCCTAGAAGAGGCTTTGAAGATTTATCAATGATTTGCTTTTGTACTTTCAGATATATATTTTTTCATTTTCTCTTTGCTCCGTTGTATAACTTACGACAGGCCTTCCCTGGGATGTTTAATGTGTTTTGTCTAATCTTTATCTGAACTCCTGCCAAACAGGGTTATGCACCAAAGAACACATGCCCAATATTTAAAAGCAACATATGCAACAATAGATTCTAATGTAAGGCAATATTAATACGGAATCATCCAGTGCTAGCTTGTAACTCAGGTGGTTCCAAAGCTCCCACAGGTTCCAAAATTTGAATTTTGTAATTCAGATTAGTTGACATAACTGCATGAGCTTTCGTTGTGTGAAGAAGTTCAGAGCCATGAGGCATCTGGCCACAGAAGCGGACAGCAAAGATATTTCTGGGAAATAATACAGAAATTGCCAGTAAACTCTGGACAAAAAGAAAAAAGAATTAAAGGCTCTTTTTTTAAGCGGTGTACTGGAAAAAAGAGAGCTGATGATGGACTGTACCACAGATAAAAGTCAAATGTGCTTAAAAATGAAAACCATTTCTAGTGTCAGTACTCTTTTTTTTCTCCCTTTGGTTTTTGCTATGTCATTATAGTCCCCCTTGAAGACAGGCCATTAATCCTACTTATAATGAGTAATGGTCATTTTAGCTATAAGAGTGAGGTCATTGATTTATGGAGGTTATAGCTGCATTTGACAACGTGAGATGAAACAAGAGAGCTGACTGAGGTTTTAGCATAACGTGAGCACATCAGTCGTCCTTCAAACTAGGATTTTTGAAATGCTGGTGCCAACAGTCTTTATGGTGGCCTTTAGTTCCAGCTGAGAAGCAGGACTGATGTTGAAGAGGAGACAAGAGAAAGGGTAGGAGTGGGATGGGGGAAATAAATGTCATAAAAGAGAGTAATTTAGAGAATAAACAAGGGCTAACATTACTTCAAATACGATACACTACTTAGTTTCAGCTAACAAATACAGGAATTTGTGGAAAACATTTTGATATAAAAATTAACAGCAATATGACTCATTGTTTATTTCAAACTGAATCTCTCTTTGAGACAGAACTAAAAGATGCATAACTAATAATGGTGTTATTAATTGTATGACCAAATGTTTATTGGGAAGGCTAGCATTTTGTGTCGCCCTGAGGGAACCCAGCCCAACCATGGACAGCATCTTTTCTGATGTAGCATAACACTAAAGTTAGTACAAGACTGATTTCATTTTTGTAGTTTATAGATTTAACAAGAGTCCTTCATACACAAGAGTCCACAAAAACCCCACCCATGTGCAATGGAATAAGCCTTTCTGATACTCATCCAGTTACATACTTCCAAATATACCTTGGTACAAAACCTTAAACCACCACCAAGTCTTGCAATCCATACAGGACTTCCAGAGGTCTAACTCTTCTTTCTACTGTTGTGAAGAGGACACATTTCTTCATGATCATCTAGTCCAAAATCCTGTTTGACAGGAGTTTTGCCTTACTCCGCTTGACAGGGAGTTTGTTTTATGTCATTTCATTAACATACAGCTGTGGAAAACATCAGCACTGGAAGCCTGTAACTAGAGATAGCAGGTTTGGGGAGCACTTGAAATTGCAAAAGCATCTTGAGACTACCTTAGTAAAATTAGTAAAGTCAACTTAAGGAGGTTCAGAACAAACAGAAGATAATCAAAACCAAATAGCCACTTCTTTATGGGATGGAGGAGAAGGCAAAGAGGAGAATCTAGTAATTGTTTTAAATCTCCTCTCATTAGCCACGTGTTACTCTTTTTCTTCATATAACCATGCACTTCAAGAGAAAGTGGATTTAAGACTTGGGAATGGGAAGTTGTCCAGCTAAGGATTTCTCTTAAAGCTATAAATATAAAAAAAGAGCTCAACTCATACTTTCAAAGCAGTGAAATGCAGTTTGGGACATACCTACCTTGGAAAATATCACTTTTCTTCTTAATGACTTTACAGTGTATAAAGTCAAATGAAAAGGGTTTTTTGTTTAGTGTTGGTCTGAGCTTTGTTGATTGGACACAGTGATTTGTTAATATAGGGTCTCTGACCGTTTGCATGGTAACTAGCAATGTAAAAACGATGCCAGACAGTTTGACTGAGCACAGTTTTGTATGGGCAATACAGGTAAAGGCATGCACAATGTGGTGCTGGTATGTTCAATAAACATTAAAAAATAATGCATACAATATATCCCAGCATTGCCATTACAAACTTTTAAAAGTAGATTAGACTAGGATGCAAGTTGAAGCAAGATTAAAAATTAAGGTTTGATTCGTAGCTCTGTACAACCTGGGCTTTAACTGCTCCTGTGTAAAAAGGGGAACTGCACTTCTTTTTTTCGCCGCTATTGCCTGTTATGACAGAGAACACCTTGTCACAGTGAAGCCTGTAAACTGGCCCTGTAGTCTCAACTGACCTATCTATTTTGGGTTAGGGTAAGAAATCTGCATTTAAGATCTTCCTGAATTACAGGAGGTTTGCCAAACTCAAGCCTGGACTCAATGTCTAATTCATTTTCCAAATAAAGAGAAACAACAATTTCAGCAGAGATGGATTGCTGTACAGGCGAGCCATATCTCACCAGCGGGCTAAATATGCCTTGGGAAAAAATACAGCTAAACTTTTACAGTCTTGCTTTCATCTGACATCTGGAATTAGAGGTCCATTAAAAAAAATTCTGTGATGTATGTACACACAATATTGTTGCTTCCTATTTATGGGGGGAAAATCTTAAAACGCATCAGAGGGATAAATGTTAAGTGATTCTAAATGGCCTTAAAAATGTCATGATAATGTATTTATTTCTGGATCTAAAATGGTCACAATTGCTGTGATTCCTTGTTGTACTGTTAGGTTCACTGTTGCTCAATATGCTAAATTCTGCCTAGTCATCAGGATCCTGTATCTCAGTGATGCAGAACAGCCAGTTCTCACAGTGCTCAAGTTACGATTCCAGTTGTAAAGTGTAAGGCTGTCTCCTGTGTTGGTGTCTGTGTTAGTAATGGTGCTTTTAAATAACACAGCTTTTGACAGTTTGTTTTATAAGCTGTTTTATGTCAAGACGTTGGATAAAGATCAACAACAAATGAGAAGAGACTGAGACAAAAAACGGTTGGTAGAAACAGGCAGGTGTTCTTTATTTCATGTGGCACAGCATTAGGCAGACAACCCAAGAAACAGTTTCTAACAAAAACCAAGACTATCGCTCCCAGGAACCATCCCCAAAACAAGGGTCTACTGCCAACAGTGCTCTGAGATGTCGTTGCCTGTCCACTCTAATCTTGTATTTTGCATATGCTTAGGCCATTTCTTAGCTGTGAGCATCCTTTCCAAAGAGACTAACTTCTAAAGAGATAGTATCTTTAGACAGCATATATACTGTGCAGTATCACCAAAGTGCAATCTCCTGAAGCCATGCTAAAATATAATGCTAACTCTGGAGAGAAGGCAATATAATAGCCCCGCATCTCTCTGAGGTAATATAATACTGTTTCTTAGCTGACAACATACGGGACACCTGAGGGAAGATCATTATGGCTTCAGAGTCTATTTTTAAACTCCTGACGCAGTAGCAAGAACCTGGAGCGTGGTCTGCTGAGAAATAGGGTGAGCACCTCTTCCATCTACGACTGCTGGGGGGCACTGGCAGCAGAAGAAAGCTGATTCTACCTTCACTGAGAAGGCACAGAATATAGACGCTCTTTTACAAATCTGAAGGATGAGGAAGAGGACAGGTAAATCAAAGATTACAAAAGACTGTAGTCTTTGCATTATTTATTAGGCAAGAGGTAAGCAATGACTGCAGTATGGGACAGTTACATAGTTAGCTTTCTGGATTAAAGGCATGAAGAACGGCTGGTTGAAGGAAGACATTTTAGAGTCTAGGGGCAGAGCTTTAAAAGCCTTGGTATATTACTTTTAATTACTATTATCTACAGGTTATTTTCTCTATATATACTATTTTTCTTTCTAAATTAAGAAAATAAACATTTATAACAAGTCACTGGGTCAAATCTTGCTCTCCACTGAAGTCAAATCCACTGACTTCAATGTGAGGGAACCCCGTGTAAACAATGAAGGGCAAATTTGGCCCTTTATGTCCTGAAAAATTCGCTTGTATCCATTTCTTGCAATCCTGCAAGGAAATACAGATGGAAGGGTCATAATCCTTACGAACTTCTCTTAAATTACCAGGGGAGCATCAACAAAATGCAGGAGCGCAGCAAAAAAAAGGAACAGAAATGTAAGGACTGCTTTGAACAGAGAATTTTATCCATGTTTCAGAGCAAAATCACAGAAAGAGAATGGATCTGAAATCAAATGCTACTGGCCCTTTACTTTCTAGACAACCACAAAATCCTTCCTGTAGCCTCAGTGAAACACAGTAGACACCTACAGAAAACAGAAGAAACCAAATATTCCTTTACCTTTGCAAACATCGTTTTCCCAAAGGTGAACACTGTCATCCCTTTGGGTCTTCTGCTAACTCCAGCTGTCTGCACAGTGTAGTGTCAGCCACTGAAGACAAAACGCGTCTACTGTGCAGATGAATAAAAACCTGTGACAACTTACAAATGTAGCTTACTGCTTTGAATCTAAAAACACTAGGTTCTTTTAGACACAGAACAATACAATTTTGGATGCGTTTACCACTTTTATTTCACTATGCAGAAACATACATTCACCATGTGTTGTGATGCAGCTGACAGTGTAATGGACTCTATCCCTTCAGTGGGTATTATAGCTGAACACTAATGAGTTTTCAGTGGATGTTCTGTACAGGTTAAGGCTTGATTCTCAACTAGATAGTAAATGCTGACCAGATTCTCAACAGACGTTTTTCTTTCCTCTGAGAACAAAAGGGAAATCAATAGAAAACCATCACGGTTATTTCAGATTAATAATTTTCTAATGCAAACTAAGTAAAATACAGATTTTCTCCAAAATAACTACATATAATTTACAAGGTTAGGATCCGTGAAGGGTGACTGGAAGCTGACTCTGAACAATGCTGACAAAAATCATTAAAGTTAATATGCTAAAATCATTACTACCTCATAAGGTATTCTGTCAGGTATACAAAGCACACTTTGTAAGCCTTTACATATTTTGATAAGAGTAAAGATTCATCAGTGTTTATCGGGCAGTAATAAAACCAGATGAAACAAATATAAGGTTCAAGTCGTTTACTGAATAAACTGTGTTATTGGCACATCTAATGTGTGGTAAAACATTATACACAGTACCTATACAGCTTTTAGCATTTTGGGGTAATCTTCATTTACAGTATCTGTAAACAAAAGGCTTGCCACCTAACAAATTTTAATTTGTTTAGACTTTCATAAACTGTGAAAGGCATGAATCGTTTATGTGTTACATGAGATCACTGTTTATATTGTTTATGAACGTGCAGGTATAGCTGAAAACTCAGACATTTTAAGAAAATTAAAAATGCTGCTTTTTTGTAATTTTATTGTTGCTTCATGCAATATTGTTTAACTGATGCTGATTCAGATTGCTTTCTATGGGAAGATATCTCTGCCAGTTTCTTTAGTAACGGTCAAAATCAATTCTTCTGTACTGAAATTTTCCACAGACAGATACAAGTCAGTCAGGTTGGAACTGAGACTCCATATAGGCTCTCGTATTCCTACTGGTGTGCATGTCTGGATTCATATGCAAGCTAAATTATTCCTGCAGGAAAGAGAACTGAGTTAATTATTTGATACAACTACTCTCTTGCAAAAGAGATCTTGTCAAATAGTCTGTGTAACAAAAGGTACTTAATAACTGCATCATTCCAGTTTAAGTAACTGTTGGCTTAAATTCAAAGTCCACTGAAGCCAATGGAAAGAATTAGCGACATCAATGGACTTTTAACCAAGCTACATTGCATTGTCTCTGAAATAATTAGCAGAATACCAGAAGAATCATAGCTACTCACTCCTCAACGATTGGTTCCATCTTCCAAAATAAATAACAGATACTGAAATTCAGTTTTCTTTAGGTCTCTATATCCAAAAGCAGGAGAGCAAAATAGTTTCCAAAGGTGCTGTGCATCATACTCTGTTACTTACACCAAATGCTAGGGAATATATATTCTTTTAAGAATAAAATGCTGCTATAGATTTAAACAAATTAGACAAGCAGCTTTTCCTCCCTTATGCATACAGCATTCAAAGCGATCTGTGCAATGGTGCCGGCATTAGCAGCTTTTGCATAGCAGGTTAGTACGCATGACATGTTTCTGCACATAGAATATAATAATATTAAGATGTCTGTTTAGCCAACCACGGTTGGAAAGCATGCCTTTACAGGAAAAAAGCTTGACACGAGAAAAGCTGCATTATCATCTCATCCTGATAAACAATGCTGCTTTACAACATAAAACGTCCTTTAAAATACAAGAAAGCCAAGACATCCATATACTGACACACCAATTCACTTGGTTTAAAATAAAAATCAAAAGCGAATTGGATCATATCTCTGCAAGCTTGGAATTAAAGCTTAACTTGTAACATATCTGCACTGAACATTTAGAAAGCGGTTAAAGGTATTTCCCTTGGCATTTTAGAACAAAATGCATACCTTTAAGAACAAAGTACTTTTGTTCTTAAATGACGTATAAGCGGACGAGATTTTTTTTTGACTTTGGGACTAGAAATTAGACCATAACAAAGCATGGACAATGAGGAATTTCCAGAGAGCCAACAAAAGCAGATGATTGGTTTCTGTTTCTCCAAATGGCATCATTACATGAAGAAAGACACTTGGAGCTAAATGTGTTTTACACTTAAATAACAGAATTGATAACCAGCAGCACACATGTAACTTGCAAATGCCAGTGAGAGAAAGCACAGAGCTAGAGGTGAATTATGGCAGGAAAATGACCTTTGCAACATGCCAGCCCAGTAAATGCCTAGGAAAATCATCTAGTCCTCTTACCTGTGGTCAATCCTCCCCATCTTCTGGTGTGATTTCTGTTTCTTTATGTACCACTACTTTGGTCACTGACATGTCAGGGTGCTGCTCTTTGGCTTCTTTAATTGCCTGAGCCAGCGCCTATCCCAAGGAAACCACAAAAGGGCAAAAACAAAAAGGAGGTGGAACATGCATGATCAGTAGCAAGGTGGAAAGATTCATGAGATATTACACAATTTACAAATGAGGAAAATGATTAAAATATAAAATATACCATCACTGATTTAACTACCAATCCAGTTTAATTTAAGGCATGCCAGTATGAAGAGTATTGCTTAAGGCAATGTTTAGAAATGTTCTCTTTGGCAGTCTTCAGGGTAGCCTTTAGCAGCTTACAGATCTTACCTGATCATGATCGATATCTGCATCTCCTGTGATGACTATTCGTTTTTCAATTCTTGTCTCTGAGATGCCTCCTTTCACCGTCTAAATGGGAAGGACAAGTGTATGTCAGTAAATTACTTCAAAACACGCTACTACCCATGCAGAGAGTGGTCTGCTCAGGAATCCAAACATAATGAAGAAAACAATCTCAATCTCAGCAATTTCAAATGGACCGCATAGAAGGAGCAACCCTGAACTCCAATGAGAGCAGCTCTGAAGCTGGCTTGCTCTGAATGGGGGCTGGACTAGACGACCTCCAGAGGTTCTTTCCGAGGTTCTTCTTTTATTTTATGATTCTAAATCATATGATGGGTCAAAACTGACAGCATTAATGGCAAATTCATCCCATGAAGAAAAGAATGGACAAATGTCCACACAGATGGCTCATATTAAGACCCAGATATGTCCTCCCACAGGCTTCAGAGGGACATGCAGTGCTGTGTAGGCTTTGTATAGCTCCTCTACTCAAGGGTAAATTTCACTCCAGACAGATGAAATCCTGTCCTCAGTGACTATTGGTAGGAGAGCTGTCACTGTACTAACAGGATTTGTGCTTAGGGAGGAAGGGCAGAACTGTTATTTAGATGCTGTACTGGAATTTGGAAGACCCAGCATCACTTGTCTATTCTGCCCGTCTTCCTCATCTGACTGCGGGCAAGTTGCTTAGGGTACAGCAACACAGCAATGCAACAGCAGTGTCTGAGCTAACTGAACATCTTGTTTCACCTAGATGATGCCCATTTAGTTTATAATTTCAACATTGTGCAGAGATAATACCTCAGGACTCAAAGGCAGTGTAGTAAGGTCAACATGGCTTCACACTGAGGCAAATTATTCCCTCCTGGGTGCCATTTGATGCCAGTGTGGCTACACTTCTTCCAGTCCCAGACAGTATTTGCAGCTAACTCAAATGTCTCTGTACACCAATGTTTTGTGCTTGTGTAGACATATACAAAGGTTTATGCCTTTCAGGACCGGTGTCAAGTCCTTGGATGCTGTATTAATGAAGACAGTATACCCAAAGACAGGCAAATGAAGACTATCCAAAATTGACTTAATGCTGTCCAGAGAATATAAGCACGTGCCCATGTTTTAAAATAAGTAATGGAATTGAAGTTCTGAAAGCATATATCCTTGTGGAAAAAAGGTCCCCCTGTTTTCTGAGGACTCACTTTGGTGATATGTGTAGTGGTTGTAGTGCTAGTAGTTTCAGATGTGATAGTTTGTGCACTCATTAATACACCTGGTTCTGAGTCAGCACCACCATCCACCTAGAGAACCAAAAGAGAAAAAACATTCATCATAAACAAGCTCCTGAGTACAGGGAGACAATAACTAGATCGGCTGAATTTTATTTGTACAATTTTTCATAAAGAGAACATCTAATGGTAAGAAAATAATTGCTGTTAGGGTGATCAGTATTTCACTGCGTAATAAGAATCTATCATTTGTTTCTTGAAGGACAGATGTAAAGTTTAGACTTTGAAACCTGTAGTTGCACCAATGTTCTCAAAAGGCCCTACACACGGACACGTAAGTCATCTTCAGGTAAGCTGTACTTATGTGCATCCTCTTGATGCTAACATTTAATACTTGAACACCTTAGAACAGTTTACACTAAGGGGTTAAGAAATATGGGTTTCTTAAGGCCATATTAAATTGGATCCTGGGTTTTACAGAATTTCTTACCTGTGATGACTCATACGTAATGGTTTTTGTTTCTGTATGGACTACTGGCACTTCCTTGGTTGAAATTTCAAGGTTTTCCCCACCACTAGAAACAGTGCTAAAACTGATGGTCTCAGTCTTCACAACTGGTGACTGTATGAACAAAAAAAAGCAACTGGAACATTCAGTAAAACTTTTTGGATTTCTTAGGTGTTTTTTCTTATTTTGGTAAGCACGACGGGGACAAATAAAAAGTGCTCTGCATTTTAGGAAAAAAAAAAAGAGAAAAACCCCTTCATTATAATGCTACATATAGGTGTATATAATGCTGGCAGTATTTAAAACTACCTTGTATTTCAGGAAAAAAAACTTCAGAAAGGATATAAACACTATACATTTTCTTATAATGACAAGAGAACAAATTCCTATTCAGGCTTACTCTTTCGTACATTCAGTGCTCAGAAAAAAAAAAGCAAGAACAATCTCAGTGTTTTAACCTCTCTGCAAAATAATTCTTGAAATTCTGCTAGTGGGGCTGAATTAAGAAACCTGAATTGTTTAAAACATAGTAAAATTAATTCCAGTTGTACCAAGTCTGGAAAAAAAAAATGTCTGTCCTTGAGGACAAATAAACTTTGCAAATCTTGATAAGCTTTCCCAAAGAGAATGCCAGATGAATTCTTGTTATCCATTACATAAAACGCCACCGAATGAAGTGTAGCATGAAAAGCTCTTTTAAAGCAAAATATACATGGCATATTGCCAGTAATGGAAACCAGCAACAAGCCTTGCAGGTGCCATGCAAGGAGGAAATTAGAGGAGAAACAAACTGCCTGCTGTAAAGACGCATTCATACAATGCACACTTATTTGACTTTCCATGAGAGGAGTGAATTTAGTCCACTACTGCATGCATTTACAGCTCAGTGTAGAAATAACTGATTTATTAATGAATTACCTCAAAGTGAGGTTTTCTTTCCAAAGAATCTGAAACATGGACTGCTGTACTGTGCTCCTCCTTCTGCTCGCGAGAAACAGCAGCAGCGATTCCTTCCTGTTTGGTTACGGCTTTCTCAGCCTCCTCCTTTTTCTCGTCTTTAGCCCCCTCAGTCACAGCAGAGCCTTCCTTCCCTTTGACGCTAGCAGCCGCAGCGGATGCTGCCTGAGCCTGAGCATCCGGCGCAAGTCCAGCCACTTTCGCAGGATCCCCGCTCGCGTGCACGCTCAGCCCCTGTCTCTCCTCGACCACGACAGTCTCCTGTACAACCTTCTTCACTGTCTCCTGATGTGGCTGAGCTGCTGGCTTCATTTCACTGGAAACTATCTCCTGAGATGTCTTTGTCTCCGTTCTCTGGAGAGAGAGAGAGAGAGAGAAACTCAATTTCAGAAGTGGACATCGCTGCTTACCACAGTTCCTCATCTTAGCATACAGTAAATGCAAGTAAAAACAGGGTATTAAACTTTGCCAGTTTCTCTCTCTCATGCTTTATGGATTTTCACTCTAAGGACATTATCACAATAGTAGAAAAGAAAAATAAAGCAAGAATTAAAATTTTTAGAAGTGAAGAGAAATGTCCCAGCGGTTTTCTCATTGGTATTAGTGTGCTAGTTTTCTAAAGGCAAAATACAATACCCTGTATAATGACCAAAATAAAATGAAATGAAATGAAACCCGTTTTTTTCCTCTTGGTGAAGTATCTATTGTGATCTAGTGTAACAAAGGAAAAGGCACACAAAGTATATGAGTTGCGTTAATTATACAGGTTCTAGGTTATGCATAAATACAGGAAACAAAAGAAAAACAAAAGTCATCAGTGTGCAATGGTAACATTCATGGATGGAATCAAACGGCCACCTGAGCCCAGGTATGTGAAGTAGAAGTAACCCCTCCTATGAACTCAGTTGGTTTCCGGGCGGACTCTATTAAACTGAAGATATCTGAACCATCCAAGGTTTTTTCACCGCTGGACTGCTTAGTCTAAATAGACAAAGAAGTGTAGAGTCATACACAGAAGAAAGACAGACCTACATGCACAGATACGTTAATTGAAAAAACTGGAGGCAGAGACAAAGGAAAGGGAGAGAAGGCTGCAGGGGCTCAGAAAGGTTGAAAACAGGAAAAGAATGGGAAAATAAATTAGAACAGATACATAATGGCTACAATAAGCAATAGTTACAAAGCATAGTTGTTAGCACTGGCGTTTTGCTGGTTCAAGCAAACCTTTTTTCCCCCTCTATTAACAAGCCACAGCGCAATACTGCATTTCAGTAACATGGATCTTTAAATAAATCAGAAAGGTTGAAAGCCTTAAAATGCCTGCTTTAGACTGTGGTACGGATTTAAATTATGAGAAAAAAAACAAGCTGGGTTGGCCACTGTCAAGATAAAGCCAGGCAGCAAGAGAACTGAAAGGCAGCGTAGTGTGAGGGTATTGCCTAAAAGAAGTCATGCTTTAATCTTTAAACTGTGGCATGAAGTCAAAGCCACTTGTTACCACTACTTTTGATGCAGACGATTCAGTAATATAGTGAGCAGTAGCAATGGTAAATGGCCGTTCTCTGGAATATCTCCACTCAGACAGGCTCTTATCACTCCGGACAAACGCCCCTGCTTTTAGAGCTTCACTGTCAAGGAGTTTTTCTGCTTTGTCAAGCTGCAAACTTCCCAGTGTACCATGTGACTGCAAATCCTGGTCCATCTTTGGTGTCTTTTTCAAGCTCTCATCTTCGGGACTTTGCAACTGCGATTCTGCTTCCTTTACAGGTGTTAAAGAGTCGGACAGCTTCCTTTTTGGGCTCTGCACATCGGATCCCCTCTCGGCTTTTTCATCAGTGACCGGCTCGAGAATCTCATACTCAGCCACTACAGGAATGATTTTCACCGATTCTTGCACTTCCCTTTCCATTTTTTCAAGAGCTTCTAGTGAAGGCTGTGCTGGTTTCTCCCCCTCTTTAACTTTACTTGTCATGGTTACAATTTTCCCAGAAACGGTATCATAGGACTTTCCTAGGGTGTACATTTTCTGCTTATTCTCCTCTTTGGATTGTATTTCACTTTCCAAGTCCTCAAAGCTCTGCATTAGAACGGTACTGGATTTTAATATCTCAGGTGGAACGCCAGCTTTACTGCTCACAGTCACTACTTTGTATGCCACTTTTTTTTTCGATTCACCATCAACTACCTCAGAGGGTACTTTGTCTATAACAACCCAATCCTCAGTGCCCTATATTTGAGATATAAAAGCTAAATTAGAATATCTAAAGGTTTATCGGCGTTTCAGGAACACTAAAATGTGAAGTCTTTTAAGAGATCAGTGCGGCCTCTTTTGAAAACATTTAGTAAATTTTACCACTGTACTTCTTAGAGCAGTCATCAAACAAATAGCCTCATCTTAGGCAAAGTCTTATTCCTTTGCAGATCCCTTCCCCTTAGAGGTCCATATAACGGGGACACAAAAAAATTACTTTTGCCACACGATTTCGGTAGTAATTTGTAGCAGAGTAGCATTTTTAATGTGTATTTCAATAATTATTGGAATCACCCTGAGGTTTAAAATCTTAAATTGCAGCAGCGTTCACAATGCTACAATTGAAAACTAATTCAAGTTACAAAAATAGGCCAAATAAGCCTATTCAACTGTTTCTCAGTTGTCACAGATACACTTTTGATGAGGTTTTAGAACAGTATGCATTTGCATGTAGCTGTAGTCTGCGCTGATTTTCTTTGCTTTTATTTGAATAAAATCAACTCCCTTTAGCGTTATTTAAATTTAATAGTACAACACAGTAAATGCCAGACTATTAAGACACTGATAATGTGATGTCTTTCTTTCTCCATATGCAAATATGCTGTGTGATTTGCTTTGAACATGAAATCAGTGTCCAGTTATTTGACCATACAACCATAACTTCTGTATTCAACTACGCAAATATGGTAATATAAAATTGAATGAATTAAAAATAACCTCTATGGATGATGGTATACTTTTCTGGATAATGATTTGATGAGAAGTAACCAAAGTGCCAGCAGAATCTCCTTCCTGCAGCTTCTTCTCTATCACACTTGGCTAATAGAAAAACCAATAAGAACACAAAGTTCACCATCACTCAGTATAATCTGAATTCACTCAACAGCATAAGGGAAATTAATTCTAATGACAGAAGTGCCCCATTCATCATAACGCTCTCAGAGAGACTTGTGCTAGAAATGCATGCACAACTGCAGACAGCGTCCACAAACAGCACTGTGCAAGTGGATTTGTAACTTGTAGAGAAATCAATCAATATTAGGTAACCATAAGCTCTGGAGAGTGCTCATTCCTCAGAATTCTGCCCCCAGATTATACTTGCCTTCCGAATTTATAAAATAAAATAAAAAAAGGGTGGCTCGGAAAGGAAAAAAGATAACAAAATAATAAACCACTGCTACCCTATCTGACTGTGTTTCAAGAAAATTCGATTTGTTTTTACCTGCAATTCAAGGAATGTAGTACCTCCCTTCTGCAAAAGTATGAGTTTTTCTGATTTTTCTCTTTCTTCTTTGGTCTAATAAATAAGAGAGTGTCAGGAGAATAAATGGTTTTAGTAAATGAAGGGCATATAGCGCACTGTACAATAGCTCACCAATATTTCTCTACTCTACAAACTATTCATTGCATAGAAAATTAGGAAGCAAAATTAAACAGAATAATTTTACAGCAAAGACGTTTCCAAGGAAAAGTAAAATCGGTGTCTCTCTGTTCAGGACATTCAGACGAACACGAGCATAAAATGTGGGTAGCAAGAAAAATAGTAAACTTAGTACATCATGTCCATTTCACCTCAGATTATTCATTTAACTGTCTGCAGCGCCAGCTTGCATGGCACTAGCCACTAGCCCCTCCTAGCTTTCTGAGCCTTTGCAGCCTTCTGTGTTGAAGCGGACAGAAGATGTACTCTGCAAATAATTCAGGTCTTCCTTTCTCCTTAGGGGAACAAGGCTTATCATTGAAAACCCAGGTCCTGGAGTCTTTTTCACACGCAACAAACGAAATATTGCTGTATTATCCTCTCTAACAAGACATCAAAATCCTACTTGCCTTTACGGCATCTGTGCCTCCACAATGTCATAGGAAAAATGAGAATATCTCATTGTCCAACTGAGAAGGTTAAACAGTACACGGAGGGGATGTAAGACTCAGTTCCCTAAGCCTTTTGAGACAGAGTGTAGATATTTATCAGTCAGATATTCTTTGCCATTCTCCCTGCCTCTGGGCTGGCAATGCCTATTCCTAGGTAAGTACTACAGCTGGCATGATAAAATGCACGGGCATGGTAGGGCACTTTTTAAAACACATATACTCCACATACTCAAGGAGAAATGTACACATTTGAAGAAAGGCACAAGACATCTAGGAACTAGACAGAGAGAGGGAGAAAAGAGCTCACCTAACTGGCTGTAATGATATGAGTATTTTTTTATTATTATTTTTAAAGTGCTGGTCTAATCTTAAAGAGCTATACATAGCTGTATGTCAGCTATGTGTCAGCTGTGTGTCAGCACTGAATCCATTTTTTAAAGAGGGAGTTCCAAGTTAAATGTATATTTTTTTAGTTGATTAAGCTATCGCATAATCTAGTTCTCAGTGCTGTATATCCTGATTGCCTCTGGATTACTCAGCAGATGTCGATTTTGACCTATGCATGGCTTAAGCTTTTCCTGACAAATCCTTTTCTCAGCAGGATATACAAACTGCAGCCATCCTGCTTAGCAGAGACAGAAAAGATGAATGGATATAGTGAGGGTCCCTTAAAGCCAGAACTCACCTCAGAGTCAGGCTCTGATAGCTCAAATCTACTCACATTTTTCACTGAAACTCCTTTGTTTGGATAAGATTCTGTGGGACAGCTCTATTTTTCTTGGATGCGTGTAAGACTTAGTAACTTAGAACCTTTGAGCAGGTTCTTTCCTTCCAGTAAGACAGGATACCAGATAACTCTTGTCCGCGGCGCTTCTCCAGGTTGGAGTCTACCTAACTCTATGCAATGCTACTTACTGCTTGTGCATTTTAATAAAAAGTTTGTTATTAAATTTGTACAGTAATAAAGGAAATGAACTCAGCAGACTTACAAGGTTGTCTCACTTGCACTCCTCTGTTTTAATCTCAGCTAGCCAGTCCCTTTCTACAGCTCTTTACATCTTTAATGGTTAAATACATCCTGTTATACTTAGAATTTTAGTCTTGAGAAAGAAGATTCCTATTTTCCACTACAGCTAGACTTATACGGTTGTAGGATTCTTTGTGCTTTGTGAACAAGACACTAGAAGCAACACTAAGACTCCTTAGCGCTCGCTCCAAAAAGTAAGCTTTGGGCACTGAGCTTACTTTTTAGGTATTTTAATACAACCTGATGGCCATTCTAATGCATGTCAGATGCCACTATCAGCCACTGGACAGATGGGTATAACGCAGAAAGAGAAGAACTGGGGCTTTTTTCTTGGCAACATCCCTTACTCTAACAGGAAGGAGTAGCTGACTCATGTTATCTGCCTGCCACCAGGGATTCTCTCTCCCCAGAGAGTTAAGGGTCTTCAAAGCTAGCCTCTAAGATGGGAAGCCTTTCATGGTGGGAAAGCTGAAGTCTCTTTTGAATTATACTTTTCAGCCAATTCTTGTTGCATTCCTTACAATATTACATCATCACAAGGGTGACACAAGCAAATTTTGTGACCATTTTTTGGTCTGTAATGCTAAAATTGAGTGGCAATCATAAAGATAGTTCCTGCGAGGCAGAAAAACAATATCCACATCAGAATAAAACAATTCATCTTCATGCAGATCATACACGACAGATTTCAGTTTACTCTACTGGATTTTAGCCACGAGATGCACCACTTTTTCAGAACTTCCATCTATGGTAAGGCAACATCAACGTTACACTCTTAGCTCTGTATTTCATTACTTACCCACAAACTAAATAAGAGAAAGCATTTTGGTTGGAAAGTTTTCTTCTTGCAAATGTTTCGGAGTACATAGAAAGATTTTTTCATGCATACACTCTGGATGAAAACGCACACGCTTAGTAACGACCAGCACTGGGCCCTCAATGAAGAGGTATCTAGCAGGCTACAGCAATTGTTATTCTCCTGTAGAATTGGTCAAGTAACTCTAAGTAATTATCATCATTATTACTTCTCCATCTTCAAAAATGCACACTATTCTACCCTTTGCTCTGTATTTTCTTACCAAGCTTGGTACTGTACCTCCATCTGCCCTGCTGTGCCACTGCTCTCAGCCACAGTCACCATTATTCACATTTTCTCTCAATCACCTTCATGTTTTCTTTCACGCGTGGCTGAATTTCCCCAAGCTCACCGAAGCCTACTGTAACGAAGCCCGCATTTCGCACCCTTGGAGAGACCCAGTTCTGCCATGCCACTTCCAGTGAATTCTGTACTGCAACTATATATAAGCTGTCTCCTCTTCCCTGAACACATAGTTTACTCTAAACCATTTACTAAAGCCTGGGTCCTGAGAAATGGGAGTACCTGCCCACACCCACGGGAGTACCGGTAAAGCCTCTAGCACCTACTGAGAGTAAGTAAAAATGAACACACTAATAGATAAACCTTTCAGATCACACTGACCTCTTCAGGCACTAGTGGTTCAATCATAGGCGCGTCCTCTTGCCTCGCTGCAAGCCGGACTGGAGATGTGGAAAGCCTCTTCTCCCACTCATTGGATATAGACGTTTCTGTGGAAGTTTCCAAGAAGGTTCGTTTCAGCTCACTTATATTGGTCTGGTGTTTCATCAGATCTTCTTGGGTTTTGTCTAGGTCCTAGATAATTAACAAAAAATACAGCAATTTTAAGCCATCCAAATTTTAGAGGCAAAACACATAAGTTTCTTAGTAAAGAAGAAAGTAACATCTCAGGGAACCGGGGAGCACAGCACTAACACAACACTCTGTGAAAATGTGATATTTTGAAAGATAGCAGCACAGCATATCTCATACAAGTGAGTATAAAAATACTCTTAGAGTTTATCCATATCACTATAATTTACACCTGATAAAGAGGCTTCAAACAAACACACATATGCGCGTGGATGCACACACACATACGCGCACGCATATAGATAGATATATTTAAAGAACTAGGTAGAGGAGTCATCATAATCTGAGAAAAAATATCTATTTAATTTATTAGCAGGTGGGAATACACAGTTCATGCATCATAGTGCAGATTCACAGGTTTACCACTAAAACTAACACACATGTACGCGCATGCACTGGTATATACCAATACCAACCTCTAACATAAGATTACTATGTTTGACATACACATTTTCACCCTGTATTCGCTTAATCAGACTATTCTGAAAGAAGTGAAAAAGAAAGGGAAAGGTAAGGGACACAGTATTGAAAGGATAAAAAATGCTGTTTCTACACATTTCTTCACAGAGAACTGACAATAACATGCTGGGAGATATGAACACCTCCAACATAGGCATTTTAGTAACATCTGGGACTTTCATTCTGTACCTGTGCCTTTAGATCTCCATCTTCCTCTTGATCCGACTGCCAGCATAAGAAAGATTTAAAAAAAAAAACAACCCTTACCCATTCATATCATGGAAGGCTTTACAAAAACTGACCAGTGGCACACACTACATTAAGATTATTTTTTCTCTTTATTTAGGCCTTAGGGGGAAAGAGCTGACACATTAATTGATTTTGCATGGTTTTCCTAATTCAAAACAAACTTCCTCTTTTCAAATCTTTAATTTTGAGCAAAGGAGCATTAAACATTTTTCTTCTATAAATACCGTTGGTGCGCTCAACTTTAATAGATTCGCCAACTATTTGAGGAGCAGCAGTTGGGCCTTCTTGCTGAAATTGCCGCTGGTTTAGGATCAAATGGCAATAGCAAATTCTTCAGAGATCCGTAATCCCAAAGTTTAAACATGTGACATCTGCTGGGCCTACAGGCAGAGTCTTGTACAAACTCAGCAAGTCCAAACAGCGTGCAACACCTTCTACAGAATGAAGCATATTTTATTTGCTTAAAATGCTTTTTCCCTAACTTCAGCCTGTTTCTGTATTTATATAAATTAATTTCATATTTAATCTCCCTTTCAGGATCTATCTGCAGGGATGGTCTTCTGGAATTGCACACAACACATTCACTTGAGCTCAAGTTTTCAAAAGCAATGCTGATGTAGCCCATTTTTGACGGTTTAATTTTCAGATGGCAAGTATACCATACTTTTTGAAAAACATGTCTCCATAAGGAAAACTGAAGTCCCCAAAATCTTCTCTCCTAAAATAAAGATGGTAGATCTGCATTTCTGCATAATAAACTGAACATTTTCATAGAACTATGAACTATGAACGTATGAACTATGTCATAGTTTTAGGATTATATGTGATCTTCTCTATGGCTCAAAGCCTGAAGTAACAGTGCAAGAGGCACGCCAAAGCATTTTGTGCTCCTCACTAGTCTCAACAGACATTATGCTGTTGCTCCATTTGGGTTCTTCGAATGCTCGTGCCGCTAGTTCATTGTTAATTTTTAATATAGTCTTAATTAATCAAATGTTCCATGGGAAATTATTTTATCTGTTGACTACTTTACAAATCAGTTCAAAACTTTTCGACTTACAGATGAGGACAAACTGTCCTGGCACATCACACGGAGAATTCTTCCTCAATGATAATTTTAACCATTTGAAATATTAATGAGATCATACTGAAAGCCTACAGTAGTATCTGTGGTAAGACTGTGTCTTCTACCACATGTCGGACCAAATTCAGCTCATGTTTGCAGCTGCAACTGTATTAATTATGAAAGCATTATACACGCTTTGCTTGAGTCACACAGGGCTGAGTTTGCTCGTTCAGCCTACAGACCGTGTTGCAGTTTCAGTACAAAGAGAATCACAAATTTTTTAAAATTTTTCTCCCCTGAAGACAGTGCCTGGGCTACTGTTGGACAATACTTGCGTTTATGAAGGTGATATGTGAACTTATATTCAAGACAAAACCTTAGGTATTTATACTCTGGAAATACTTCTTTTCAGAAAATTTGAAAACCATGTCTTACTTCTTTCTCCCCTCCCTCCCCCCCAAACCAGGCTGTGTATTTTAAAAATAAATAAACGAATGAACAGAAAATCCCAGAAGAGCCTGCCGGCACGACAGTCCAGCTAAGCGGCATTTGTCTGGGGGCCGCTGCTACCATCCTCCTCCATACACAACCCGCAGGCAAGCTTAGCAAATTTCCAGAAAGGCCACAAAAGAAAACGGATCTAAAGCGAACGTTCAAAACGTAGCTCACCAAACCAAGCCCTGGCGCTCACACCCGAACACGCGCACACACATACACGTGCACACACGCCGAGCGGCATCCCCGGCGGCAGGCAGAGACATGCAGTTTAGCACTAATGCAGAGAGTCAGGAAGAGATGAAGCTAAACGCGCTACCGGCCGGTAACCACGTGCGGGCGACTGTACAAACCTCGGTGGCAGTGGTCTCACCATCGGCTGCGGTATCCGTCTGCTCACTGTCAGTCTAGTTTGTTACCCGAGTAAGCAGGTCCCAACAGGCAGGCAGGAATAAAGAATAAACCCATCTCATCAGGACACGCAGACCACAGCGGGAAACTGTTAAGTCTACATCCCTGTGAGCTGCCTTAGCATTGCTTTTCAAACCACGCACGAGTCAAAGAAGCAAAATAAAAATGCTGTATTAGTAAACAGAACAGACTCAGAGGAAGACTCAAGGCGTACTGAACACAGTATATGGCTTTACTGCAACAACTTTATAAGCCAAACAAAACATTACTGGGAAAGTGTTATTTGACCAGTAGATTTTTTTTCCTTAAGAAAGCCAGGTGGCTTCAAAAAAAATCTAGAAAAACCCTGCTAATTTTTTCTAAAACAAACTTCTCCTCCCATAATTTTTGCAAAGAATATCATTCATCCTTTTTTTTTTTTTTGTTTTGGCCAAAAGATTAATGTGGTGTTTGACTTTTTATCTGGAGGGGGGAAAGATAATAATCAAAAAAAGAAAAGGCTACTTTAAGAGTCACCTGACTTTCAGCCCCTCATTTGTACAGAAGTTGTTCTTGTCTCCACATTTATACACTATGAGGCTGTCTGCATTACCAAGGAGTTCAAATAACCATACACCCAGCCATCTCCTATCTGTCTGCAGAGAAGTGGTGAGGCTCACATCCCTCTTGGTTCCAATAAAGACCAGCTGATATAGTTACCGATATTTAAAAGAAACAAAACTGTCATTAAAAGAACCAAAATGCTTCTCATTCCAATTAAAAATATGGATAAAAGCAGGAGAAAAATAAAGGAACTCCCTCCCCCACACAACACTTACTAGGTACAAGTGATAGAAATGAAACAAAGCACAGCATTGCACAGACTAATCTATCCCTACTTTGCTCTGGTAGAACCATCTATACCATTAAGAACATTTTTAGTGCAGAACACAAGGGTCACGATTTTTAATAAATGTAGAGTCAAGTGTAGGCTACTGCAGGGCAAGAAGATGGCTCAAATGGTTATTTTTGATGTTATGCAAGCTTATTAGAAACTATTAAGTAAATCAAGTGCTCACTAATGCCCCGGTTTGGCACAGACAACTTGTTTTAACAGCAGTGGAAGCTCTTGTTTGATTAGTGATCTCCTGTGGTCCTTAGATAATCTAAAGTAACACAGGAAGGTAATTTAAAGCTAGGACAACACCTCTCATCCTCAGATCACATCAATATGACGCAAGATAAAAAGGCAACATACTGCAAGGCACGGATGGAGTATCAATCTTAATTTTGAATATCCTATCTTCTGACGTTTTCTGACAACTGCAATGTTTCATAAAAATGCTTTTCTGATATTTTTCCTTGCTTTTTCTCTCTCATTCTTCCTTTGCATAATACACACTACTTGTATGACTGGCCAAAGAGTAGCACAAATAATTTTAAACTATTGTGTAAGTGCATGAAGGCAAATTATACGCAGTTTTCCAAGCAAAAACCATTGACCGGGGAGACCACTTTTATCTCTTGTATGAAACTGTACTTCCAAAATAGCCTACATAACAGGTCAAACTGTTTTCATTTCAATGTTACAAAATGCTTCTCTAAAAATTGTTTATTAGCAAAGAACCTCACATCTCTGTAATATTATAAACGAAATAATTTGTAAAGGTGTGGCAATATAAAAAAATGTATTTTTTCTCCTATCTTACCAAAGAAAAGAGGAATTAATGAATCTAGGTGTTTAAAAGGAATTAAAGGACACGTGCCAAGGCATTGTTAACACGTGAGTTTGGCCTAGACTACTCATTTAAGAACCTGAAGTTGGCAATGTTAGTGAAAAGTCAGTAGAAATGTTAGCCAGTAAGGTACAAACGGGCACAAACCTAAGGAAATATAAAGGGGGACATTCTGTCTTTGCACAGACCGCCTCCAGGTGCCCTATTCAAGGGAGAATGGATCTCAACACGAGGTATGAGATTGGCTTAGGATACCAGTGGTAGCTCTTACACGTGCCTTCTGCATGCACTCGTCTGTGAACTGGAAGTGCGCTTGGGGAAGGGGGGGGGAAGAAGGAGGTGCTATTTCTTTCTCCGTACCAGCAATGAAATCCTAAACGAGATATAAAACTCAGTTCATCATAATGAGGTGCATGTCTGCCAATAAGCTGATCACCAGCCAGGGAGTACAAGTCAGCGTTACTGAGTTACTTGTCAAATAAAGATCTGCGGTTGCTGCAGAGCAGGCAATGGAGAATTAAGAGGCTCAGCAAGGCAGGTTTCCTAAGGAGTAGAGAGAAGGAAAGGTCAGGCTCAAGTCCGAGACCAGCTGCAGTGCACGGAGCGATTTGCCGCTGCTTGGGCTCAAGGCCAGGCAAGGGGATTCGAAAGGACGGGAAGGCAGTTATCCTCGCAGGGAGAAGCTTTGGCTGCATGTCCTCTAACTTGAGATCATCATTGCTGTGATTTGTTTTGCCAATGTAATGCAGACATGCCCAAGTTTAAAACATATTAAAGTTCATGCAATATTTTGAACAAGAAATACCCCTTGGATTAGGCACAAGTCTGTGTTGTCTGCCAGGAAGCACTGCCAGAGTAATCGCCATCGTAAAACAGCTACACTAAGAAAGCCTATTTTATATATTTTTATGCTCAGTACTTGTCAACTTTACTATGTAAAGAGGGCTCACTTCTGAAAGAAGAACAGACAAATGCATAACATAAACATTGCTTCTCTATCGCCTCTGGAGCTGGTACTGCATTACTACTGTTATTGTGGTTATATTAATCCAAATGCGGAGGTACTGTAAATTGAGACAGAAAAGCTACCTCAAAATGAGGATGTGAAATGAGACAGCAACATTTTGGGTGCCTTTCATCGGAAATCACATTAAATATTATTTCTTTATTAAGCATTACGGAGCCAAAAGCATCTGAAGACAATGTTTTTACAAGATTAAACTGATGCGACTTTTGGCATTCCATAAAAAGGAAATGATATCCTGTACCAACTCTTATAAAAACCATAGGGACAGATTTCACAAAAGTTTAGATGCACAAGACATTTATTGAAGACAGCTACTGAAACAGCATGAACAAACGGCCAGTACAGCTTATTACAAATGGCCAACTGGTCTGCAATTAGCTGATCTGGTATTTTTATACACAAAGCAAAACCATATCTGTGTATTTGAAGATGAAGAAAAAAAGGAAAAAAGAGAAAAGGATGGACTCTCTATTTTATTCTATCAACACAGAGTAATTAGACTCCAGCAAAAACAGAGATACCACTTACTTTGTTACTTAAGCAAACAAATTCCCTTTCTTCTTCTGGATGTTTTATTATATCCATAGTTCTTATAAGCACTATGGGCTCGTTCTGCCCCTGCAGTTGGTTTATCTGCCTGCGATAAACCTAGTGACTTGAGGCATTAATTTTGGCAGCGCGATTCTAACACTGCAAATGGTAACAAGGCCCACATGGCGTGCTCCTGTAACAGCTGCAAAATAGCTGTCCCAATCTAAACTCTCACTGCTAGGGCAGATTTGAATACGGAAAACCAATTTAATCTGTAGCAGAGACGGGATCAAGGCCTAAATTCCAGATACAGGTTTTGCTGGACCAGAAAGCCTTTTCTCGGCTTGTGTGACTATTGATGGCTTCTTGCAAAATGCTGACCCTACCTGAATTTTGAACACCATGACATTGGTAAAAGTGTCCACTATAATTGCCTCAATATATATAAAAATATAATGCATATATATATATATATACACATATATGCATGCATATATAACTATGTGTGAATTGTACCTAATTCCCACTATTGAGAAAACTGCTCTAATAAACCCTAGTATAAATTGGTAGACAGAAAAAAGATCTTGGTGGGTTCGGATGCAATGCTTCAAAAGCTGATCAGCGGCAATTTGTTTAGCACAAATCACTCTGCCCCAGCTGACACGGTTTGAACCAAGCCACTTATACACAGTGTTGTGCCTAACCCTGGGCCCCAAGCTGCACTCCCAACACGAGAAAAAAAAAAAAAGAAAAAGAAAGGATCCCCCCTCCCCATCCCAGACCCATCTAACATATCAGCACAGACAGAAATGAGGCTCTGAAAGTAGGACCACTATTGCAGCATTCTAACACTGGTTAGGACTGAAGCACTGAACACGAAAAAGAGTGTGTTCGATGCCGAGGTACACACCTCTTCCTCTGAACTGTCACTCAGGTCATTGGCAAGTGAGGCACTCAAGGAGGCCGCCTTGGGCTCCAGGTAGCAGAGGCACATAGCCAGAGGGAAGGAGAGAGTGAGGGCATATGGCACTGAGAAAGAGGCAGAGAGCAGAAAGAAAAAAATGAAGAGGAAGCAAGGCACGAGGGAGGGGGAGCGGATGGGAAGGTAATGCTGCACGCTGGCAGGCAGGAGGTTGGTTTCGGAGAGGTTAGGGAGCGACAGGTAGCCATCGTCATCCAGGAGAGAAGGGAATGACTCTGGAAGTTGCAAGGAGAAGGAAAACAACGTTCCACCTTTACTGGCTTTCTGCTTATAGCCAAAAGCCACGTCTTGTTCAGCAGAGCAAACTCTCCCTTTTCTGTCAGAGTCCAGGTCTGACTCACCGTGCTTTTGAGCACTCTCTTTAGATGACTCACAACCTACTGATTTTCGAGTGCTCTCCTTGCATCTCCTGCGCAGCTTTGCTGAAGATGCATGGGGACCACCAGACTGGGAGGACGGGGAGGACGGGAATGAGTCAGTGCCAAGCAAAGATGGCTGGTGACAGAGGAAGAGCAGCAAACAAGGCGCAAAAGCAAAAGGACAAAAAGAAAACTGTAATTAGTTAATTTTCTTCCGTGATGATGATTAAATATATATAATATATATAATTATAAACATTATTTTAACACCATAGCTTTTCACTGAGTTAAACGTTGCACGTTCCCATGCTGCACACCACAGGTATTAGTGAACAATGGTTACAGCTTACAAGAGGCAACTTCTTCATTCAACATTTGTCTAGTCATCTGCAGAACACAGTTTAAATAAAAATCTTCGTGGCCATGTGTGGAGATTCAGACGCTGCCAATTTTCACTTTTTGTAAAGCTGGCTTCAGATCAAAAGGTGCTTTCAAACATGAAGTACATGGATAACAACAAAGAAACAAGGGAACAGAGTCCTAATCCGATCACTTGACACAAGTCAAGGAGAGATTTTCGGAGAGAGTGAGTGGCAGATGCTTTCCACCTATGCCTTGGAAAGCCTCAGTCGGAATAATTGAAACCCCAAGGGTTTGAAAACAGGAGGTGCCCTAATTCCTCCATTACAGTATTTAACAAAACGCTATGTCCTTGAACTAACCAACTTAATTGTACCTACTTACTCTGCTACTCCACTCTACTAACCAACCCGTTGCACACCCTACCCCTGCTGCTACTCATGGTGCAGGCTGACACGTCCGCAACCACGCGGCGACAGTGCTCCCTGGCAAACCCTGGTGGGGCTGGTGGCATCCGGGAACATGCTTGGGGAAGGGGGCTGAGCTTTTCTGGCCAGGCAGATTGCATGCCCTTGTTGGGGATGGGAAAGGGGCCTGAGCACCAGCCTGGCAGATTCAGCCCCGGTGCTGTACGCTGTCAAGTTCCTCCGATTTTATCTTTCCAAAGTGACTTTTTAGACATAATGTAAAGGCAAAAATGTAATCTGAAATGAATCCATAATGAGGAGGCAAAAATGTAATCCCAATCTTTTCGCTACAAGTTTTACTGTAATGCAAAGAATATAAACTACCGAAAAATAGGACTTTCGCTTCAACAAAGTGTTAGTAGGGCTTCAACAGGTCTTAAAGATTTTTCAGGGGAAAAAAGGGATGAGCAGGGAGACGAGGCGGAAGGAGGGGGTACTCACCACTAACTTACTGTAGAACTAACGTGCTCTCTGTCAGGCAGCTGCTGCTAATTTTTAGAAGTAAAACAACAACAGTCGCTACCAAAATACCCCAGTACAACAGATCTGTCACAAGACTCACGCATTTTAGACATTTTGGCCAAAGTCAACTTAGACTAGCTTAGCTAAAGTGACACCCTGGCTCCATGACCAGC